GAATAAATGACAGATTTCATTCTCGCCTGACAAAACTTTACACTTTTGGAGTGAATATTCCTTTGAAATGATGTAGTAGCAGCACAGAACTGTAGTAAATCACAAAGCAACATTTTATCTGCACCTGTGCACAGACAGATGTTTATAAAATGCAGCAAAAGACACTTAGAGAGGTTTCAGTACAGAAATGCTTTGGCAAGATCTTGAAATTGGCCTTTTTTGGCACATTTGTTCACCCTCTTTGGCACCAAGATAACAGCTGAACTTATTAGATGTCACTAACGTGTCATTATATCCATCTAAAACCAGTGGTTTTTGGCTTTACTCCAAAAAATCAATCAGACCTCTGTACGTATACCCATTTAAAACTATAATAAGGTGACGCATGTACGAAAGTGTTATCACCAATTCAACAAGCAGATAGAGACATAGACCAAGGCTCCATTGGATGTCAGAGGACTTCATTTCTCTCCCGTGGCCATTTAAACTCATAGACTCCACATTTTCCGACAGGCGTGGACTGATAGAGGCACCGGGACCCAGGATTACTCAATTCTAGTAGTTTTATGGACCCGACATAAATTTTGACCACAGAAACAGCAAAGGTAAGACATAATCTGCACTCTTAACGCAAATTAGTTGACTTTACTTGCAAATCGCGTGAAACCCGTTGTCTTATACCACTTTAGTTTTTACATTAGCTGAAACTAAAGACGTCAAGTTGTGTTAACATATAAGCTTAATTTTATGCAGTAGGCTTGATAAGTACGTATTAGTAGTGTCTACTCAAAATCATTAGAAAAAACTATCTAATATGACCAGTTATTGCAACTTATCATTCATTACAATTAATGTATTTTCTTCTAATTTAATTAGCTTTTGATTTTTAAGATTGTTTAAAAACATTGTTTCAATTAAAGGAGCTATATGTAAGAAATCTAAAGCAAATAGTCTTAAAATCCTCCTAATATGTCACAGAGACTAAGGAATAATGTTCATATAACATACTGATCTCACCGACAACAATAGTACAGCCAGAATATTCGCATTAAAAATATTTTTACGGTCCGCAAATCATGTTTATGTTTTGAATTTGTGTTTTGGCCTGTTGTGCCACCCACCGCCGTCTACCAGTCACACAGTCAGTAGAGTCTCATCATCAGTTACAGTTACGACTGAGCTACAGCAGCACTGCAAGCAGCGTTAGCAGTGTCCCAGTACATAGCATTAGCAGAGAAGCCGGACTTGCTCTAACGGTCCGCTGGAAAACCGAAGATCAAGGACGCGGCGACGCGGCCCTGCCACGGCAGCCGCCCGTGGGCAAACAAGTCAGTCTCCAGCGTGCCGCTGTCCAGCAACCTCGAATCTGTAGGGGAGGGGGGGACACGACTCGCGGCAGCATTTTGAATTTGAGTGCAGTAACCGTTTTGGCCACATTCTTACATACAGCGCCTTTAAATATTATGGAAATGAAGAAATTAAACAATACTTTTAAATGCTCAGCTCCAACTTGTTTGAACACTGTAAACCCAGATTTTGTTTCTAATTTGTTTTTAAACAAACCACTACAGCAGCATATTGAGTGCCAGGTGGCCGGCGCGGGCCGTTATTGACCAGCACGCGCCGGGACGGCGCATGGACACTCACCGTCTTGCGATTGGACTTTGAACTATCATATGTACTGTGGAGTTTTAGTACCGCGGTCTACCATTACCAGTATACCCTGCAACACTAGTGACATGAGGCAATACTGTATGTAGTTTTTAGATGCGAAAAGTTCTAGACCCATGCAAATTAGTTCCGGAACGCACCAGGGCCTTTTCTGAAAAGATCCTGGTATGCGTTCCAGTACGTTCCGGCTCAAATTAAGCACTGCATATATAGTTATATAGTAAACAGTGACAGCACAGTGAGAACCCCCACTTCCTCACTCTCTACTTGTTTCCCTACAGATGATATTGTGATACCCTTACTCTCTGAAGGAAACTCATCATGTCCAGCTTGTCTGCCTTCGTGGGAGAACATCCCAGGCCCTCACAGGTGCACTTTGATCCAGGAGGTGACTGTCTGAGGGAGTCCACATTCCAAGTGCTCCAGGAGGAGACTTGGCCGCTCTGCTGATCAGCCGGAGGGATCCAGGGCAGTAGACAGCACTGAGTGGCTACTGTCCTGTTGGGGGCGGGGCTCGATGATGCAGGTAGGAAGATTCTGAGTTGAGAGCAGAGCAGAGACTGCTCATCCAACAGTCTGTGCATCTTCTACTCAAACACAAAAGATATAATCAGAAAACATCGTCATACAGTTGGTAAAACTAAAAGAATACCACTTCACTTATACAGAACAGAACAGTGTTAATTTGATTGACAAAAACTGAAACTGAAATGTTATTGGTGGACTATCGGACGTTGAAAGCAGAACGGCTGTGCTTGCAACTATCTTCAAATGCCAAATGAGCGACAGGCTGGTAAAATCCAGTAAACAGTCTGTGCCAGGATGTTCTGCTAGCCTGCGAAAATACCCACATCAGAGCAGTGTGAGCCGTTGGCACGAGTTGTGAGCTGTAATTCAACAGTAAATAATCAGCTGTGTGTGTCTGACTGTGGATAAGTTTTGCACCAACAGATAACTGAGCCTCCTACCTGTCTGTCAAACACCATCAACCCATAAACCTCCCCCACACAGTCTGAATTGGGGTGCAGTCTTGCGGGGTTCAACAGACTTGAAGTCCAGCGGCTGGTGGCTGCTAGCTCTGCTGCCTTTCAGCGGCTAATTAGCGGAGCTAGCTGCTAACAGCCACCACTGCAACTAACAAACTCCACAGATCCACTCAGCAGCTCCACCATCCACAGTCAGACACACAGATGATTTTCAAACATCCCTTCCATAGTGACTACTCTTGCAGCAGACAGGTTCGAGTGTGCCGGTGTGACTGTTACCATTTTCAAGCTGTCGTCGTAGTGATGGGCCAGTTCACTCAACTGCGTCTCCAGCTCTCCAGCCTCCTGTTTGACTGCTCGCCTCAGCTCCTCTATGTCCCGAATCTTCTCCCTACAGACCACACACATACATGCAGCCATTAGGGCCCGAGCACCCTTGAAATTGGAGGAATTCTTCTTCTTCTTCTTAGAAATAAATTGCTTTTATGGGGGCTTAACATACTCAAAAACTGATGAAACTTTGCACACAAAATTTGGTATTTTACTCTGATTTGAAAAAACAGCTAAGTAGTGCCCCCTACAAAATTTTGCCTTAACAGTCTCCGAAACTTTCACCTACATGTACAAAAATTGGTGGGCACATGTAACATCCTAAGACATGCAAAAAAATCTCGTGGACCCATGCTCTGAACAGGAAGTCAGCCATAACAAAGGTAGCGTTACAAAATTTGGCTCCATTACATCTCACAAGGTTCACTGACAAAACAACTGTTTTATACTAAACATGTTTTCTTAACAAGATGCTAACGTTATTAGCACAAGGCTATGGCATTTTACATTGTATAAATTAGCCTAGCGACGAGCAGAGATTTCCTCTGCTCATATGCAGCCAGGATAAATCACACACAAGACTTAAAGTACTATTTTTGTGGAGGCTTTATTGTCTTAAATTAAAGTGAATAAATTTGTTTCCACTGAGGGAAAAGGTAAAAGCAAAAAGGTCAAATCTCATTAAAACAATTACAAAAAGCCTCATCCAGCTGCTTCCTGTGTGATAAGGACCTAATACTGCCAAAATGGAAACTGAATGTAGCATGTTGACTGTTGTGAGTGTTGTAACCTTAATGCTGACATAAGTGGAACACATCAGGGTTCAAACAGCTTCTTTAACTTCAGCGTATACCTGTCCTGGTCAGAGAGAGCGCTGTAAACTGCAGCCTGGTCTTCAGACAGCTGCTCCTCCATGTTGCTGAGCACAGAGCAAAACTGCTGCAGACACAGCATCATCTCCTCCAACTCATCGAGGGAGTACTGCAGAGAACAAGTGCAAGAGTTACCTTTCAACCACGTACCCAGGTAATGGGAAATATGGAAATTCAAGATATAACATTTTCAGGCTAAGCTACACGTACACAACGTGGGTTTTTCTGATTTGTTGAGTAAAATTACAGCAAAAATGTTGACTTGCAGCTCATGAAATAATATAATAAATATGTAAATGTAGCCATCTGATTTTCTGTAAGTTCACATCTGCAAAAATGATTTATTTTTTTACAATATTTTATTATAAAAGTATTCATTTTACTATTTAAAATAAGGTGCTTAAACTTGTGTTAAAAGCACAGAAGCATGCACATATCCAACAGACATTTATTTTAATTTTAGGAATTTTCTTGTAGGATATCTATTTATTGTTTTTATTTTGTGAATTTATTTTTCTTTTTTTCAATTTATTATTTAATTATTTTTTTCTTTCTTTATTTATTTTTCCCTTTTATTTATTAATACATATATATATTCCTTACTTATATTTACATACTTTATATACTGTATAATATAGTTGTGTTTTTTATACATGTGTATGTGTCCTACTGTCACACATTGGTATTGAAAGATATGATCTGATTTCACTGTAAAAGTACATTACTTCATTGGACTATAACACACTACATATATTTTTTAAGCAAATATTCATTGTAATTATTTTCAGCCATTTTAATTTGTTTTTAGGTTGTAAAGATACATGTTTTTTTTATTTAAAAGCTACAAAGGTGCTTTTATTTGTTTCATGTAATTAAAATAAAAATGCCGAAACAAATGATAAAAGCGATGTTACAATACTCCTTTACTTCTGACCAGGAGAGCAGACCACATCAGTCCACTTCACTGTGCACTGGTTTTCTGTGTGTCAAAGACCTGATTTTAAAATATCCTGTTGGATTATGGAGCACTGAAAGATTTTGTATCTGTTGCAACATTACGAACCATCCAGAGCTCTCAGGAGGTCAGGGTCAAGTCTGCTTCCTGTCCTCAGGATCAAAACTAAACCTGGTGAAGCAGCTTTCAGCCTCTGAGCACCACATTCTGTACCTGGAACAAACAGACCTCTGTCCGACTCTCAGAGAGCTCCACAAGCTCCACATGCAAATGAGACATTGATATGTTAATGTAGTCGCGGCTTTGAAAGGACTCCATGTCAAGAACTGTGGTAACAACAAATACACTGTTTATATCAGCGTGTAAACATCGTGACTCATTGGACGGTGGACACGTCACAGCTCACAGCTCACTACTGTTTCGAGCTTTGACATCAACAGACAGAAGAAACTGTTTCACTGAACAAAATGATGCTCGTGTTTTTTTGTTGTTCATTTGTTGTAGTGACTCCAGAACTCATTACATGTTGTGTATCATCAGTATTCAACGTGCAGCACAGTGAAAGCAGCAGACATACACAGAGGAGCTGTCGGTCCTCAGCCCAGTTCAGAACAAAGATTCACGACGAGACAAGCTGAAACAAACAACTATCAACACTCCATTCTGCAAAAACCTGCAGGTTGACAGGAAGTGACCGCCGTGAGACGGCGTATCATCTCTAGTCAACGACTCTCTGTGCTTCTGATCTGTAACGTCGACAGGAAGTGACCGCCATGAGACGGCGTATCATCTCTAGTCAACGACTCTCTGTGCTT